TAATTTCCTAAAAGGCCAGGTCCAAATTTGGGAATACATGTGTCTTATTTTTTTAAAATATATCTAAGCAGTTGACAAAGGAGATTTCCAGAAATGAGCTATGTGATTTTTAACATCAGTCTGTGGAATGGACTTGATAATAAAGAAATATCTCATTACTTTTGAGATTTATATAGTGTACATCTGTAGCTTGGTAACTGGGTACTATAAAAAGATCGGTATTAACTGGATTTTGTATATCTGTCATTCTTGCCTTGCCAAAAATCTGTGGAGTAGTTTGTAATTGCCATTGTTTGGCTTATTACAATAAACAGAACTGATAAGGCTTATGCTATTTGCCTTGTGAGCTGCACTTCACACCACTCTGTTGAATTAAAATTGCATGCACATATCTTCTCTTATCAGTTTTATTTATCTGTCAGAAATTGAGAAAGGCAGTATGCTTTCAGTATGTGACATCTACCAAGCAGATTGAAATTATAGCCATTATTTTAATATACTGGTACAAAAAAATGAATATGTGTGCTTCTATTATCTAATTACCTATCTACCTTCCATCTATTAATAAAATAAATTCCTATAGAAAAAGATTGTTATTGTTTTCCAGGTGGCCTTTATCATATTTTGTCGAAGCTTTAAATACGATTTTAATTGGATTGTCTAAGGTACAAATACAAATCTACAGGATACAGCATGTTTTTCTCTCTTCTTTGTAAAAGATGAATAATTCTTAGAGCTGCTTCTACAATTGTACTAGTTATTTGACTGAGTTTGTAGATAGAAAATCCAAGTAGATTTCTGAAATGCTTTAATTTTCTTCCAGAGTATTCTTCATAATAGTTCTACTCTTAGGTTGCAGGTTTCTCACCTATGAAACTCCCAAACTTCCCAGTGATCATATTAAATGAACTTTCAAATTTTCAGGTGATGAGTTAATCCATGCATGTATGTGCATCCTTCAGAAATCTTTTAACCTCCAATAATTGTCACACATTGTCACCACCACATACTCACTCCCAATTCACACCCCAGCATACTGGGAAGTAATTTTTTCTTTTAGATTTCTTTTTTTTTAGAGAAGTTATTAGGTTTACAGCAAATTTGTGAGGAAGATACAGAAAGTTCTCATATACCCTTTGCCCAAACATATACACAGTCTCCTCCATTATTAACATCCCCCACTAGAGTGGTACACTTGTTACAACTGATGAACCTACATTGACACATCATAATCACCCAAAGCCCATAGTTTATATTAGGGTTCACCTTTGGTGTTATATATTCTATGCATTTGGACAAATATGTAATGAGACATTATCTACCATTATAGTGTCATACAAAGTATTTTCACTGCTCTACAAATCCTCTGTGCTCCTCTAATTCATCCTAGGAGATGATTTTTACTTCAAGAATTTGGAATTGTTCCACTCCTCTCATTTGTCCTACATGTTGTGGTTGACTGTTTATTGCAGTGATTCTGTTAATTTCCTATTTGAATCTTTTATTGAATGGATTTTTCATGTTGTGTGCAGGAAAATTCTGTTGTCTTTTCAAAAACATTCATTATTTTTATTTTTTTAT